ACGTAGAATGGAGATTCTGGACCTAGTGCTCCAGGCCTCAAACACCATGACCTACCACCAGTACTCCTGGCTCCAAAATCACGGAGGGGAAAACCTTGGGTGGGGCAGCTATTTACAGATTTAAGGACACAAGTTAAATAGCAGGAATGTAATACATGTTGTAATGAATAAATATTTCCCTTTTGGCTTTCTCCACCTCCTGTCAACGCTTCCTAAATTCTGCCACATCTTTAGCGATCCACTCAATCCTAGAAACCCTCTTGGATGCAGAGGCAAGAACTTTTCAAGACCACTGGATTCCAGGATCCAATTAAGGTGGATCTAACTGAAGACAAGTGAACTCAGGATCCTAGACCAGCTATCCACCAGCCTTCGCATCTGGCTGGAGTCTGCCTCTGTTCCATTCCATTCCGCTTTCTCCTTAATGGACTTAAAGAAGGGGTAAAGTGACTTTATAGATCTTTGGCTTGGGAGAAGCAAATTACTCAGGATGAGAAATGCTCGGGCGATCTTCGGCGCCCTCAGATGGCCGACTGAGAACACAGCACAATAGAACAACAGGTGGCTCTCATCGGGACCAACCGGCACTCAGAGTTAAGAGCAGTTCCCAGGTCCTCAGACGAAGGTTCTAGTAGTAATCCCAAGCAGTCTACTAGCCCCCATTCCCGTCCCTCGGGCTCTGGTGGCCGGGGCTCCATGAACACCTTTCCCAGCCACGCCGAAGGGAGGAGGCGGGGCCGTGNAGACCACTGGATTCCAGGATCCAATTAAGGTGGATCTAACTGAAGACAAGTGAACTCAGGACCCCAGACCAGCTATCCACCAGCCTTCCCACTTGGCTGGAGTCTGCCTCTGTTCCATTCCATTCCGCTTTCTCCTTAATGGACTTAAAAGTGACTTTATAGATCTTTGGCTTGGGAGAAGCAAATTACTCAGGATGAGAAATGCTCGGGCGATCTTCGGCGCCCTCAGATGGCCGACTGAGAACACAGCACAACAGAACAACAGGTGGCTCTCATCGGGACCAACCGGCACTCAGAGTTAAGAGCAGTTCCAAGGTCCTCAGACGAAGGTTCTAGTAGTAATCCCAAGCAGTCTACTAGCCCCCATTCCCGTCCCTCGGGCTCAGGTGGCCGGGGCTCCATGAACACCTTTCCCAGCCACGCCGAAGGGAGGAGGCGGGGCCGTGGGCCCAAGCGAACCAATGCGGGCGGCCCTGGTGACGCTACGCCGGCGAGCAGGCCAATGGGCGGCGGAGGGCGTGGCCAGGGACTCGGGCTCTGAGCGTTTATAACAACTTGGAATGCTGCGCTTTACTGCGCGCTCCGGGGCGGCGGCGGGTCCCCTGTGCGGGTGCGGGGCGGGTGCCCGGGCTCTAGCTCTCCCCGCGCAGCCGACTGCTGCCCGCTCCGCTCTCGCTTCTCTCCTGCTCGCCATGGACTCGTTGACTTTCTCCCGGCGCCCCGGCCAGGCTCTCTCGGCCGCCGCCGCCCTGGCCACGGAGCTCTCCCGGCCCCTGACCGACGGGCTTATCAAGTCCCCCAAGCCCCTGATGAAGAAGCAGGCGGTGAAGCGGCACCACCACAAGCACAACCTGCGGCACCGCTACGAGTTCCTGGAGACCCTGGGCAAGGGCACCTACGGGAAGGTGAAGAAGGCGCGGGAGAGCTCGGGGCGCCTGGTGAGTGCGGCTCCCTCTCGCGGCGGCGCGCGGGCGGGCTCGGGGCTTGGCCGCCAGCGGGGAGTGAAGGAGGGTGGGCGGGGGCCTCGTGCATTGCTCGGTGCAGTTGCATGCAGTCTTTACCACGCTGAGATTGCGGGGCGCGGCGCTCATTGCAGATGTCTCTCTGTGATTGTAAGGGCAACACCAGACCGCCTGTGATGATTGCCAAAGAAGTGAGTGGATAGTTGGCGCAGGTTGCGCCGAGGCCGAATAGTGTGTCCTGTCTTGGGATGAGAAGGCTCCCTAGAGAAAGTGGGGGTTAAGTTGAATTTTGCTTGGAACAGACTATTCAACAGAGCGTAATGGGAAGAGGCAGTAGAAGGCACCTGATCTTAATAGGAGTTTGATAAATATGTGTGTGGTCGAATGAATGAATGAGATATGGAATTCCTCAACTCTTAAGAGTCTGGCAGTCCAGCATGCTATGGAGATCTGCAAAGGGGTGGGTTTGACACTTGGGTCCTTTCCAGCTCTAAGATTTAGGTGAAATTTCATTTTGATGGGTTTTTGATTCTGGAAAATGTTAAACCAGGCTCTGGTGCCGGGTTCACTGTGCCCCAAGATACCTTTGGGTTTGGAACCTTTTCAGGAACTTGTCCTGTTAATTTGGTGTGTGTGGTAGTCATAGTAATCTGTGTGACCTTTCATCTCTGTACTATTTCCCCTTCTGCAAAACTGAAGAAAACACAACCTGCCTCACAAGCTGCTGTGAGGATTGAATAAGATACAAATGAGAATTTAAATCGTTCCTGACACATAACTTGTAGTGAGAACTGATATTTATATCTGGAAAGGCCAGCTCTGAAAGGGTGGCAAATTTGCCAAAAGTTAGCTAACAATGGTTCTCAGACTTGAATTTAAGGTGCATGGGAATCACCTGGGGTGCTTGTTCAAAATACTTATTTTCTGATTCCACTCCCAGAAGAATTTATTCTGAAGGTCTAAGATGGGGCCAAGTAATCTGTATTTTAACAAGCCTTTTAGACCAGGTGGTTTAGGGATTATGTTTTGCTGAATCCAGTTGGGTGCTGATTGTGAGGCTGTGTGTGTGTGTTTATGTGTGCGTGGGGCGGGGGGGGGCATAGTTTGCCCTATTGGCTATGGCTGCAGTCGCCTCCCCAGATTTGTTTGCTTTTGCAGCTAGTAGCTGGTTTGAAATTCAAGAAGTCATTTCATTGGTGAAGGAGAGTGGATGTTGGAGAAAGGGGTGAATTATGGCCCCATCAATAGGACCAAGTATGTTTTTCCTGCTAATGCTTGGCACAGTCCCCAGTTGCCCGCTGCCAGGTTACGGCTATTGGGCAATCATGTACTTCCTGGCTTTCCTTTTCTTTCTCTTTCTATAAAGTGTGAGGGCCCGGTGAGGCTCCAGGCTTGAGACTGCTGGGCCCAGGCTTTGTCAGGGGCTTAGCTGGAAAATAGTCGCTCGTGGCTTGTGCCTCATGCCTCTTGTTGGGGGGAAGACAGCGTCGTGGAGACTGGGGTGGCCGAGAAACTGAGATCGAAGTTCAGAGATCCCATCAGGCTCTTGACCTGAGTCACTGGCTTAGCTGGAAAATAGTCGCTCGTGGCTTGTGCCTCATGCCTCTTGTTGGGGGGAAGACAGGGTCGTGGAGACTGGGGTGGCCGAGAAACTGAGATCGAAGTTCAGAGATCCCATCAGGCTCTTGACCTGAGTCTCTGTGTGTGTGTGTGTGTGTGTGTGTGTGTGTGTGTGTGTGTGTGTGTGTAAGTGACAGAGAGAAAGAGAGAGAGTGCGTTTTCTCGTTTGATTCTGGAGTTAGATAAGCCAGATTTCAGTTTTCAAACCTCAGTGAGTCTAGGCAGAGATTCCAGCTCTTATTATTACATCAGAACAGAGAGAATTCAGAAGACACTCCTGGCCTCATGCCTCTTGCTGTATGTAGGGAGCCAAGATCAGTAGGCGTGGAACCTGCTCTGAACCTCTCTGATCCACAGACTACCCAGTACTGCTGCCGGGAACTTGCTCAGGGTCTTCCTCCTTGGAGAGCAGCTGCCTGCTGGGCTAATGGCTTCTCAGTCCTGGAGCATTGCCCTCTTTCCACCCCACCCCCATCTTTACTTCTTGACTGTCTTCCCTGAAAAGAGACCTGATGCCTCAGGATACTTCAGTGGAGGCGGGGGGGCGGGGGGATGCCTAAGAACTCCCCACAAGTGAACTGAGATTGTTGGTGGAGACTAGATTCAGAGGAAAGCCTGCTGGGTGACTTCCATTCCAATTTTTTCTCCACCTTTCTAGCACATTTCCCATTCCCAACCTGCCTAAATGGGATTATAAGGGGCCAGATGGGATTGTTCCGAGGGAGGGCAAGTGGGTGGGACTAATGGCTGCTCTAGGAGGACATCAAAGGAAAAATAAATATTTGCTCTGGATCTTGGAAACATTCCTGGTACCCAAATGACATTTCCTCCTGTGATTCTTCCAGCTTCCCTGACCACCTCTCCCCCTAAAGAGAAAAACATGCTGGGGTCCCTGGCATGGTGGAGTCAACCAAAGACTTTGGGATGATCTGCATGGAAGTCTTTCCTCCAAGGGGTGCCATGAGGGAATGAGGGGAGTCCAAGTGGGTAGCGCTCTGGGTGGGGGTGCTTTTTTCTCTTTTATAGATTAGATTGCCACATAGGATTTCAAAATGTTTGGAAATGACTGAGGTGGTCCAATTCCTTCATTGAAAGAAGGGAAACTGAGGCCCAGAGATGTGGGGAGTGAATTATCCTGTGGCTGGTTAGTGGCGTGCAGGCAATGTCGGCTTCTGACTTGACCACCTCAGGACCCAGATGACCAAGTACTGAGTCTTAGACTGGGAGTTGGCCTTGAGATGAGTCCAGGCTTGCCTTGGTGTACTTTGACATTCCAGCAGCTAGTTCCCGCTGCCTTTCCCAGTGCTCCAGGCAGTGCTTCAGGTGGGAAGAGTCACTAGGAACCAGCCCCCACCCCCCACACTCTGACTATGTAGAGGGAACCTGGGTGGGTGACCTACACTACATTCCTGGTCTTTAAACCTCATCAGGGAGGCTGCCTAGCTCAGAGTCAAGACTGCAAGGGTTCAAATCGTTACTCCATTACTTACTACCTGTGTGACCTCTCTATACCTCATTTTCCTCATCTATAAAGTGGGGATTATAATCATTCCTACCTCATGGGATTCTCATAAGATTAAATAAGCTAATATATGTAAAGTGGTCAGCACGATGTCTGATACACCCAGTGTTATTATCCCAGCAAGGCTGACATTGAACAAGCACTATCTTCTCTTTCCTGGCCTCCTTCCCCCCATCCTAGGTCTGTCCTGCCCTAAGGAAGAGTATGGATTGTGCTCAGCTTCCTTAACCCAATCCACTTTGGTCTCTGTTCGTTCAAAGTCCTAGTCTCTTCTTTGGCCCCAGCTCCAGAGGAGGACTCCTGCCTGGCCAGCTGCCAAAGGCTTGTTTGGTGGGACACTGCCCTCCCAACTCCTCCTGCACCTGCCTACTCAGTGGCAGGGAGGGAGGCTGCAGGCAACTCTTGTCCCTGGGCTCCTGCCAAACCACACAAGAGGGCTGGGCAGGGAAGCTCCTTGCCCAGCAACCTGGCAGAGTGGGCTGGAGGGTGGCAGGGAGGGGGCAGCACAGTATGGGGCTTCGGGGAGGTGGCTCAGACTCCCCTCAGAGCCCATTCCTGCTCCCTGCCTAGTTCTCTGGCAGGTTTGGTGGGACGGTGAGCAACCCCCAGGCTCACCCCCACTCTGTGCAGCCCAACCTCTCCTCCATTATCTAATTGGGTCATCCTCTAGCTCCTTGCCCCACCTCCCAGACAGCAGCTGCTCTGTGAAAGCCAAAAAGGAGTCAAGGATCTTGGCTCCAACTCTGGGTGATAGCTGTGACCAGAGATGCTCAGCTTGCACCCTCTCTCCTGGCACCTGGAACCAGCACCTCTGGATCTTCTTTTTCTAAGACCTTTCTACCATCTGTCCTGAATCCAGATCATTCCCAGTCCGAGTTCCTGGGAGAGAGGCATTGTTTACCCATTGAGCCTCAGCATCCACCTCCAGGCTGTTGGCAAAGGAGCCAGGCATGTTTGTATATCTGTATACATGGGGGTGGCTTGTGGTGCCACACAACCCGGCCCAGGGCAAGATGTAGGGCATTCCCTTCTCCAGGCATGGGAGGCTGGCCAGGGCATCTCCAAGGAACTTTGTCTTCTGAGATGGCAACTTCTCCAGGCAACACCCCTCCATTCTACATCCTGACTCTGTCTCGATGTGTTGGGGAACCTTGGAAAAGTCAGCACACCTTTCTGAACTTCAGAGTTTGCCATTTGCAAAACAGGATAGGAAATTTGCCCTGATGTCTTTCCAACGTGATGGCTGCAGAGGCAAGAGAATCACTGGACATTATCAGTGTGAATCAGGAGGAATTATGCTCAGGCAGGTTAACATGGCCATAGTATGGGGTCTCTATCAATCCCCTTGTAACAATGCTAGCACCTTCCTGACATAGTAGCAGGTAACCCATTTATGAAGAAGCTCGTAAGAGAATGTCAGAGTTTGGAAAGGAGCTTAGAAGTCCTGATGTGCTAACTTGTGAATGGCTGCTTCCTTTCTGGCTTTTGCTCATATCTTTCTTTCTGCCTGAAATGCCCTTGTTGCCCCTCCCTATCCCACCTTCCTTGGCTTAGCAAACCTCCTTCAAGATCTAAAACAGTTTTCTCTCGGGGGTGGTTTTCCCTGCTCCTCTAGGCAAAGGAAGCTCTCTCTAGTGCTTCTGGAACCCTTGGCAGGCAGGGACCTCACCTGCCACATTTATCACACTAGACTGGAGTTGATTTAATTGCCAGTTCTCCCAGTTGTGGTTTTCCCTGCTCCTCTAGGCAAAGGAAGCTCTCTCTAGTGCTTCTGGAACCCTTGGCAGACAGGGACCTCACCTGCCACATTTATCACACTAGACTGGAGTTGATTTAATTGCCAGTTCTCCCAGTTAACTGAGGGCCTTGGTGCAAGGCCTGTCTAGTATTTGAATCCCTAACACCCAGCACAGTGCCAGGCACATAGTAGGCATTCAGCATATGTTTGGAGAATAAACGTCCTTTCATTTTTCAGATGAGGACATTAAAACTAGCCAGACCAGTTACCCAGATCATTTAAGTGACTTGTTTTCAGTTGCATAGCTCGATAGGGGCAAGTAAGGATTAGATACCCGTGCTCTGGATGACACTCCACTAATCAGCCTTTCACGTTTACATGACCATCATTGGGCCTGGGTTTTCTTTCCCCCTCTGAGTAGGGTGGTCATATAATGTGTTGTTTAAACTTTGATACTTTGGAGAGTAAAGGGGGACATATTAATAATTATACTAGATGTCTCCAGGCATTTGGCCTTGTACCTCTGGGTGATCCATTAGCAATTCTTACCCTTTTCCTTAATTTTAGTCAGCTTATTTTTATTCAAGAGAATAGTTGCCCAACTGCCTTGCAGGTGAGAACAAAGGTCCCTAAAAATTAATCCTTATAACCTAGGCTGACTCCACCCATGCCTGGGAAGAAGGGGAGAAAATCTTATCTGGTCCCATCAGTCAAAGATTAACCCAATGACTTAACCAATAAATACTTATTTACGATATTTATGTTCACCAGTAAACAATTGTTGAAGGCTGGGAAGAAGGGGAGAAAATCTTATCTGGTCCCATCAGTCAAAGATTAACCCAATGACTTAGCCAATAAATACTTATTTACGATATTTATGTTCACCAGTAAACAATTGTTGAAGGCTGCTGAGCTCTGTCTAGGCCTGAGCTATTGCTGTATCTGATTTACTTTGACAGGCCAGCCAGCAGATAACTAGAGTCCTGTCCCGCGGGGCTGGGATAGGTTGGGGAGCAGTAACCAAGCTCCACCAGGGCAGTGGTGATACATCGCTCTTCTTGTCTGTCACCTGCTTGGGGACTGATGGAGGCCTGATAACATAACTTGTTTTCTTTTCTTCCTGGGAAGTGCCAGACGAGATATAATCTCCTAGGACCTAATGTAGGTAAATGGGGGGTCCTTGACTTACCCCGTGAGGCCAGAGCATGAGCTTGCAGGAGGATGGAACTGTTCATTGCCGATTAACAATTCTGATTTAGAATTATAGGCTTCCAGAGTTGCAAGAGGTGGATCTTGGGGTTCTACTTGTGTACACTCTACTCATACAACGGCTCCTACTGCACCTCGAAGACCCCTTTCTTTTTTTGGAATCTTATGTCTTTCAGACCTTGTTATCTTTAGAGCTCTGCCCTCTAACCCTATGATGATTTATCTCACTATCCTATATATTTGTGTGCACACAACTGTACATCAAAGATGTGCATAGTTTTTGCATATGTGTGCATCTTAAGCTCTCAAATATTTTTGATTGTCTAGATATGTGATTTGTGTTTATATGTTTTTACCATCTGTGAATACACTTTTATGGACCCTTGTCTCTGAAGTGCTCATAGAACTTTATCTATTGTCTGATTTTAGAAACAAAGAATTTTAGAAATAAAAGAACCAGTCCATAAAATCTCCCCTTCAAGGAGGGAAAGGGGTAGGGAGAAAGAGGTGTGTGGGAACGATGCTTCAGGGTGAATCCAGAGAGAGGTGCCTCCTAGATGGAGGATTCAAACCCTCTATCTCCTTCCCCCCACCCCTTGCCCAATTCCAAGCCCAGGGATTTTTCTGTTTAGCTCACTAGGGTGAGATGGATGGTTTGGAGCAGAAGGAGGGCAGCCCTTGGTCCCTTGCAGCTGCAGCCTGGGCCTCTCTAGCATCTTGTGGAGGAGGCCCCATGGTGACCATCCCTCCCGCCTGGCATTGTCCTACCCTCTCCTCTTTCACAGATGCAGCTCCAGGGGAGGAGTGGGGCGGAGGGCACGCCATCCCTGGCCCGTTGCCGGGGTGACCGGGCCAGGGCATTGTGAGCAGCTCTTCTTACGGGATTAGGGCTGTTCCGCATTCTTGTCTGATGGGGAACACAGGCTGTCCCTGCGAGCCAAGCGAGCCGGAAGCCATTGTCTGCCTCCAGAGCCCTGTGAAAGGGTGGATTAGAGGCCCCTCCCTTCAAACTGAAGTTCCTTTTTTCTGTTTCGCTTTGAATCTTGGTGGGGGGGGGCAAACCCTCCTGGGAAATTGAATGAGGAGCTGTTTACCCCGGTCTGCATCTTCAGATTTCTCATAACTTGCCTATCTCCTATGCAGAGGAAGTCTCGTATTTATTACTTGTGTCCTTGGACAGGGCTTGCCGGGAACTGATGGGCCCGTGACACCCCACCCCCACCCAATGCCAGCAGTGCAGCCCCCGCGTGCCCCATAGAATTTGTAGGGCTTTTTCACAGAATGAAAGCAGGAAAACCCCTCGGATGTTTTTTAGCTCAACCTGTTTATTTCAGAGAAAAGAGGAGGTAAGACTCGCCCGTGGGGACAGAACCTGGAGAACCCCAGTCCCTGACTCAGGCAGTGTCTGTCACACACACACACTGACCCTGCCTGTGCTACTCTCCCCTTTCCAGTCACCATGTCTGGTGCATTGTCCAGGAGCTGCTGCCAAGTGGCACGGAGAGAGACGCAGCGCCTCCTGGGGCTGGGAGGGCGCTGCCTTGCTCCACCTTCCTGAACCCCCACACATACCAGCCAGCAGGGTTAATCCTTATCTGGTGTGTTTTACCTTTCTGCACCAAGATAGCAAGGCCCAGAGGACTGTTTAACTGTCTAGTTGTTTGTTTGGTGCTGGGGGAGGGACATTCCTTACCTGGACTGCAGAGACTGGTGTTTGGTTTCGTTTTTTTTCATAACTTTGCGGGGCATTTTTTTAAACATCGTGATAAAATATGTATCATATAAAATTACCATTTTAACCATTCTAAGTGTACAATAGCATTGTGTATGTTCACATCATTGTAAACCAATCTCCGGAACGCTTTTCATCTTGCAAAACCAATCTCCAGAACGCTTTTCATCTTGCAAAACCAATCTCCAGAATGCCTTTCATCTTGCAAAACTCGTATCCATTGAGCAGCAACTCCTGGTTCCCGCCTCCCCCCAGTCTCTGGCAGCCACCGTCCTACTTTCCGTCTTTATGGATTTGACTACCCTGAGTATCTCATATAAGTAAAAGTATACAATATTTGTCCCTAATGTTTTCAAGGTTGATCCATGTTGTGCCAGTTAGTGACTGTATGACTTTGAGCAAGTCATTTAACCTCTCTGGGCCCCAGTTTCCACACCTGTAAGTGGGTATGATGGTGCTCTCTGGGCCTACTTACTGGGATTGTGTGAAGCCCAGTCCATTTACTAATGCAACAGTTATTCAGTGCCTGTTGTGTGCCGGGCACTGTGCTCAGCATCAAGGATCCAACCATGAGCAAAACAGGCCCAAACCTTGTCCTAATGTTGCAGTATGGTGAATTTGCTTTGTAAATCTCAAAGCATCAGCCTTACGAATGCAGGTTGTTACCTTTCTGTTCATCCGTAGACTCTGAATAAGGAGGTCATTGGCCCATCCTCCTTCCTGCTACAGTTCTAGAGAAGGTGTTCACCAGCCTCTCTGCCACCTACCCTGGTGAAGGATGGAGTGGCTTCTCTGCAAGGGATGCACCCTGTGGCCTTTGTAGCAGCTGCAGGCAGACTACCAAGGCCTGGGCCCCAGAGTATCCTCAAGGATGCCGTTACCTGCCAGACCTTTCTCCTCACTCTCCTGCATTCTCTATTCCCAGGTGGCCATCAAGTCCATCCGGAAAGATAAAATCAAAGATGAGCAAGATTTGATGCATATACGTCGGGAGATTGAGATCATGTCGTCACTCAACCACCCCCACATCATCACCATCCATGAAGGTACAGAGGCGAGGCATTGGAAGCTGAGCATCAGGGTTCTCTCTCTCTCTCTCTCTCTCTCTCTCTCTCTCTCTCTCTCTGTGTGTGTGTGTGTGTGTGTGTGTGTGTGTGTGTGTGTAGGAGGAGTCAGAACAGATGACACAAAGAAGTAAAAAAGACACAGGCTTTAGAGTTGGGCTAAAGGTCGATTGAAACACAGCTGTATGACTTTGGACAACTCATCTAATTTAGTGTCTGGGCCTCAGTTCCTCATTTATAAAATGGGATAATCCCACTTACGTCACAGAGTGGTTGATGGCAAAGATGAAACTGAATAATGTGACCAAGTGCTCTGCTCATGGGAGGTACTCGAGGAATTGCAGGCTTTTTTGTTGATATTGTTAGGTTTTCTATATGTAGACCTGCACCTGCCTCAGGTGCATGGCTGCTGTTCTCCTTGCATCCCCAGGGCAAGGCCTCCCAGGGTCTGACCCATGTTCTGAATCATTTCTGCCATGGGGCTGGCTCCTACATCTCTCTGTTGCTCTCAGCCTCTGTCTGACATCACTGCTGGCTTTGCCACTGCACCTGCCCTCTTCCCTGTGACCCAGACAACAA